CCAGTGACTGGTCCCTCCTGGCCATGGGCCCAAACTATGTCAGATAGAACTTCAGAATCCTTGCCTCCAAGGAGCATTCTCGTTTCACCCTCTCCAGGAGGAACCTGTTTATTCTCCTAACAGTCCAGGGTATATTCAGTACTCTTCTCCAGGACCACAGCTCAAAGGCATCAATTCTTCTTCTGTCATCCCTAGTCATCATCCAGCTTTCTGATGCATAGCAAGTAATTGCAAAGATCATGGCTTGGATCAGGCGCACCTTCGTCTCTAGACTGACACTGCTTTTCAGTACTCTGGAGAGGTCCCTGATAACATATTTTACTAATGCAATTAATTTGTCATTTGATTTCCTGGCTGCTGCTACCAAGAGTGTTGATTGTGGAGCCAGGGAAGCTGAAGCTGTTAATAATCTCAAGTCTCTTCACTGTTTATCATGATGTTGCCAGTTGGCCCAGTGGTGAGAATCTTTATCTTGATTTTAAGCTTCAGTCTGTATTGAAGGCTGCAGTCCTTGACCTTCTGCAGCAGATGCCTCAGGTCCTCTTCAGTTTTGGCAGGCAGGGTTTTGTCATCTGCATAATACAGGTTGTTTATGAGTCTTCCTTCAATCTTGATACCCCATTCCTCCTCATCCCAGCCTCCCAGATGTTTGGTTCCACATATAGATTGAAAAAAGGATAGAGACAGGATGCATCCCTGACGTACACTTTTCCTGATTTTCAACCATGCAGTGTTTCCTTGCTCTGTTCTGACGACTGACTCATGGTTCAAGTATAGGTTTCACATAAGCACAATCAAATGCTCGGGGATTCCCATTCTTTTCAGAGTCAGCCACAGTTTGTGTTGGTCCACACAGTCAGATGCCTTTGCATAGTCAATGAAACACAGATAGAAATTCCTCTGGTACTTTCTGCTTTCAGCCAACATCCATCTAACATTGACTATTGATAGGCCAGGTTTTATTGTTGCTTTAGGTTGGTTTTGACTCAACAGCGCACAACCACTCCCACCACTCTTCGTATCATTTCATCTTTTTTCGTGGCTTGTGTGTTACTAGAAGCCGTGCTGCTTGTATTTCAAATACCAGAAGGGCCACCCGTGGGAGACAGATTTCATCGGAGCCTACAGACTCAGATTAAGATGCGGGATTGTCCATGCACTTTTTTAACAATCTCAATCTCTTCACCATCCATCACGATGCTGCCAGTTGGCCCAGTGGTGAGAATCTTAGTAGTTTTTTTTTTGAAAGAACATGGCTGCTTGGTTGAATAATTTATTAGAGGTTCTAGATTAAGTAAGATCGTAGGTACATAAGTCATATCTGAAGTAGGTTGCCTTCTGATGCCCAATAGCAATACTGAAAGTTATCTTTCTTTCCCTCCAACTTTTAAAATACACCTTACACAATATTTAAATTTGTCATTTTTATTATCTTTGTGATAAAACAAATTACATTCTGTTGAGGACTAGTGGTAAAATAATTTATGCTAACATTGAAATTAAAACTGAAGAGAAAATCTTCCGTACCTAATCTGTTTTGTACCTTCAGAATGCAGTTTGTGTGATTTAGAGTTTAGTTTTACCTTTGATACCAGTAAGAATATGGTTACTGTGTAGCACATGAAATGGTGCTTTCCCAGTTTGGATAGTGTTTTTGTAAACTCCCTTACATGTTTTTTCCTGAAACTTAAGGAGTGGTAGCTGATAAGCAGAATTCCTTCATTGAGTCTAGGGTTTAAGTATGTACATTTTTTAAGGATTACAGGCATAATTTGCAGGTACCGAGGGTTCAATTCCAGGCCAGTAGTAAGCAAGTGTAGCAATAAACCGAGCTTATGAATGTTTTAGTTTCCCAGTGTTTATACTGAGCACTTAATAGGCATTGTCCTCTAGAGAAATGTAACATATTGTGAAAACTCACAAAATAGAAACAAGAGGCACAAAGAAAGCATATTCTGTCAGAAAAAGGGCATTGACTGATTTGTTTGATGCACGCTCCTCCCAAGCTCCAGTTTATCCAAAAGAAAACCCAGTCTCGGTCAAGAATAATTAAATGAAGCACAGAGGAATGAAGCATGGCTTTACGTAGCTACGTTACAAATAATTTGTGGTGTTGGGGCTCTCAGGTTAGATCCAGTTCCCAGTGACCCTGTGTACCGCAAAGCAAAACACCACCTGGTCCTGTTGTCCTCACAGCTGGTGCTGGGAGTGAATCAGTTGTATTGTGTCGGTCCGTCTTTTTTAATGTCTTTTTGTTTTTGCTGGGCCTTTATGTTCATGAATGTGATGTCCTTCTCTCCAGAGCATCAGAGTTCCTTATTCTTTCAGGAGCAGCCTCATACGCGGTTACTTGGGTGGTGTTTTCCTTGGGGAGCTGCACTGTCCACGTAAAGGCTGCATTTTGAATCAGCTCTTTTTCCGAATCATGGGCAGTCTCCTCCCCCCGTGCGATTTCCAGCCTGGGAATCCTGGTGGAGGGTCTGTGTGCTCCGGCTCTGTCGCACAGACTTTGACTGATGACTTGTCCAGGTTCCCGTCTTGCCGTTGTTGCTTGTCAGGAGCTTTCGGGCTCCTCTTTCCAAAGCAGGTTTGTCCTCCTGCTCCGTGCACTGTCTCACTGTCGTCCAGTCGTAGCCAGTTCATGGCTCACCCTCTGCTGGGTTGCCAAGGCTGTAAATCCCACAGGAAGAGGTGACCCATCTTGCTCCCACAGAGGCTCTGGAGGATCCAAACCAAGGGGGCACAGCCTTTGAGAGCTCAGTGCAGCCCCCTGGGGGCCGGGTCCCTGGAGTGCCTTGTCCTGTTGGCGGGTTTAGTCTCCTCTGGCAACACACACTTCTGAGGCATCAGTTCTCCTTTGACCTTCCTTATTCACTGGCCATCATGCGCAAGAATATTGAGGAGATGGAAAAGACCATGGTTTGGGTGAGATGAACCATAGCCCTCTTTAACACTTTAGAGAGATTCTTTACAGCAGATTTATATAACATAATATAAAGTTTGTATGGTCTTGAAATGTATTTTGATACTAGAAAAGGAAAACCTTGGAAATCTCTGTTGTCCACCGATATGGTTATTAATATATTTCATTTAACTTAATGTGGGTCATAATAATTTGTATTTTGATGGTATATAATTTTGACCCTGTCATTCAAAAAAGAAGAGCTTTGTAAGAGCCTTTCCTTTATCTTCGGATTCGTTTTAAAATAGTGTCACAATCTTCATTTCATCATACTAGTTTTGAGTTGCCTTTTGAAATCTTCTGTTCAACTCACTTCATTATTATTTTTTCTTTTATTTTTATTATTATTATTAATTATAATAAAAATTTACAGATATTTTGGATTTCCATTCATTCATTGTTGCACTTTTCTCCCTGCCCACCCCCTCCCCCCAATTCACTCTTCTTGAAAAGTAAAATTCTTTCATTGTTATGATTGTTACAGTCCCTCCCCCCAAGTCTACTCCATTATGCAGCCTTTGTTCTGGACTCATGTCATGCCAATAATACCTAATCATATATACCTTTTAAACAGTTCTTTCCCTCATCTGTTTCAATGCAGTAGACATAATTTATCCCCCCTTTCTCAGTCTCATCCCAACCCTGATGTCAGTCCCATTTTACAACAGTGGCACTATGCATTATTTGTCCTTTTGTGACTGAGATATTTCATTCAGCATAATGTCTTCTAGGGTCACCCATTTTGAATAATATTGCATGAGTTCCTTGTTTTTCAATGCAGAGTAGCATTCCATTGTGTGAGTGTATCACAGCTCTCTATCCATTCCTTTGTTGATGGGCAGTTAAGTTGTTTACAGCTCTTTGCTATTGTGAACAGAGCTGTGATAAACACAGGTGCGCATATATCTGCTTGGGTGGTGGATGTGGTTTCTTTGGGGTATATTGCAAGTAGTGGAATTGCTGGGTCAAATGGTATTTCTGTTTGCAACTTTTTGAGAAAGCACCATACCACCTTCGACAGTGGTTGCATCATTTTACACTCCCACCAATAGTGAGTAAGGGTTCCAGTTTCTCCACAACCTCACCAGCATTTGATGTTTGCTATTCTGTTAAATTTTGCTGTTCTTCCTGGGGTGAGACAATATCTCATAGCTGTTTTGAAGTTCTCTTCATTATTTCTTACCTTTTTCTTTTAATTCAGAAGAACCCATGGAACATGAGATATCATTGCTGTTGTTAGTTGGATCCTAGCTGAAAGCAGAGTATACCAGAAAGATGTTTATTTGTTTTTTTATTGACCACAGGAAAAACATTTGACCGTGTGAATCATAATTTATGGATTTGTGGTGTTGTAGGTTAATTGTTCAAAATGACTTTCTGCAGCTTTTCCCTGTAAATCTTATTTTCATTGCATGCTGGGTGGGAACATGCCAATAGAGGGAATATACAGTTTGTAACAAATTGTGGCTGACTCTGAGAAGAATGGGAAACCTAGAGCACTTGATTGTGCTTATGCGAAACCTCTACTTGGACCAGGAGGCAGTCATCAGAGCAGATCAAGGAAACACTGCATGGTTCAAAATTGGGAAGGGCATACACCAGGGATGTGTCCTAGCTCCATAGCTTTTCCACCTGTATACAGAACAGATTATCTGGGAGACTGGGCTCTGTGAGGAGGAATGTGGCATCAGGATTGGAGGAAGACTCATCAACAACTTGTGTTACGCAGATGACACAACCCTGCTTGCTGAAACTGAGGACCTGAAGCACTTGTTGCAGAAAGTCAAGGACTGCAGCCTTCAATATGGATTGCACCTTAGTACTCAAACTGACATCATTACTCCTCAGTAATTTAGAGATGTTCCTAACTGCAAACTTTTCCAGTACAATGCATCTCCTGATTTGACTGCTGATGCCAAAGGTGTTCATTGTTAGGTCCAAGTAAAATTAAAGAGAGTGATAGATAGGAAAAGGATTGAAACTGCCAATGACTTCTCGGTATCAGCACACTTGGTATCAGCAGTCAGGATATCAAGACATGTATTGTGTTAGGTAAGTCTCCTGTCAGGGACCTCTCCAAATTACTGAGGAGCAATAATGTCCATCTGAGGTGTGCCTGATTCAGGCCATAGGCTTTTTAGTCACTTGCTGTACATCTAAGAGCCGGGCAGTGAATAAGAAGGACAGAAGAATAGTTTCTGTCTTTGCCTTGTGCTGTTGCAGAAGAGCGCTGACCGCTCCACGGGCTGCCAAAAGAATAAACAGATACGTGTCTTGGAGAAAGCACAGAAGCAAGAGTGCTTCTTGGAAGCAAAGATGACAGTTTTATCTCACATACTTTAGACTTGTTGTTAGGAGAGGCTAGTCCCTGGAGAGGAAGATCGTGCTTGGAAAGGTGGAGGCTTGGTGAAAGAGGGGAAGACCGTTGACCAGGTGAATTTCCGCAGTGACTGCAGCAGTGGCCCTTAGTGTATCAGAAATAATGATGACAGCACAGGATGGGACAGGGTTCAGACCTCTTGTTCACAGGGTAGTTGAACTTGACTCAGTGGCATCTAAGACAGCGAGGACTACAGCTTACCAGAAAAAAACCTGTTCTTCTGTGGAGTGGACTGTTCACCAAAGAGAGAGGCCGTGTTAAGCACAACTACCATCTCAGAGCGTTTAGGATGGGCTTGCTTGGAGGGAAGGTAGATTTAAGTTTCTCACAAACTTTTTCCCCCAGCATATGGAAATTTATTACTGTGACCTTTTCATTGAAACTTTCGGATCTTAAAAATAGGGAATGCTTCACGAATTTGCATGTCATCCTTGTGTAGGGGCCATGCTCATCTTCTCTGTCGTTCCAGTTTTAGTCCATGTGTTGCCGAAGCAAGCAGTGCACAAATTATTAAATGATTTCCCAATATTTTTTCTTTACTTTTCAAGGATAGTAGTTTATTGGAAGTAGTGTATTTTGATGCAAAAGTCCATGAAATTGGCACTCAGTAATATGTAGAAAATGATTAGTTTTAATAATTGTTAAACTTAAACCTTCTTTTCTTTTTCAGGGATATCATGATAACACATTTTGAACCTTCAATCTCCTTTGAAGGTCTTTGTAATGAAGTTCGAGATATGTGTTCTTTTGACAGTGAGCAGCTTTTTACCATGAAATGGATTGATGAGGAAGGTGAGTTGGAAATCACTTGAATTAAGTTGTTATTTTCTCTTTGATTTTTTAAATACAGTAATGGTTCTTAAAGGTGGGAAAGGTATAGTAGAAACTTGAAGCTATTATTATTTAAGTCTTGAAGCCTAATGTACCAGAGAGAACAATCTATTATCCTTCTTCACCCCCTAACCCAAGGAACTTTATTTGAATTTTATCCCCAGCAGTACAGTCAAATCTCATCAAATGGTATGGCATTTTACTTTAATTTTTAATTTGTGTGTTTTATATTCAAGAGATTACTTTTTTGGGGATTGTATATTAAAGAAATTTAAAATAATTGTCACTATTGCTATTTTTAAAGTGATGGTAGAAACTCAGTATCTTAATGATTTTTCTTCAAAAAACCCTTCATGGGTACCTGTTTATTAAGGATACAATTCATTTCATACCCTCAAGCTTATAGACTCCTAGGAAAGATGGACTTGTGCCTAACAGAGACAGATTCTGGAACAAACAACTGCAGGGGGTACAAACGAAAGCACATCTCCATCTGCTGTCACCTCTGCTGCAGGTTGGAACTGTACCTACACCATGGAGTAACGGGTTCTCTGAGGCGAAATGAGAAAAAAATCACTTAGGCCAAGAATCAGGTCTAAAAAGAAACAGATCAAAGAATATGGTGCCTGTGTGTGGCGGGGGAGTCTTAATGCATTCCATCTGAAGAGTGGGTAGTGAGAAGGTATGAACTTGATATAGATTCTTGCTGCTCGAAGTGTGGTCTGAGGAACTTGTTAGAAATTGGGACTCTATCAAGCTCTGTCCCAGATTCCAAAATCAGAATGGACACAGATGTGATCCCCAAGTGATTTAAAGAGTGTTCACGCCTGAGAGCAGTAGGGCTGGAGTCGGAACGATCTCACCAGCCATGGTAGACTTGCTTTTACATGCAGAAGGTTTTTGAGTACAGGTCAGAGGTGGTCAAGTTGGCACAGGATAGGGCAGAGTTCAGGTCATTGGGTTGCTGTGAGTCATAGTTGACTTGAAGGCCATTAATAATAACAACAACAAGTGCACTACTTTTCTAAGATTGGTTTTCATTGTAATACAAATGGCATTTCATTTTAAGAGATACCATTATAGTGTTTAGTTCTGTATTTGGGGCCATTCCTGTGTTCCTTGGTAGGAAAAGCTTTGCAAAAAAATTACCTCACTCTAAGCTGTAGATAAGCATATTTATGCTTTTAAATAAAGTTTTACAAAGATTCTCTAAAGCAGTCTACATTCACCGTATCATAGTATAAGTGCTTGGTAAAGTTAAAAGGAATCTCCTTCTTCTTTCTTTCCTTTCTTAAAAATTCTATTCCTGAGTAAACCATTATTAGTAAAAGCTTTTGGCTTTTTTTTTTAAATGTATACACCAATATATTGGAAGCAGGAGTGGTATTTCCATCCTAAACAACATGTCTCTGGAAACTTTATGAACTTTGATAAATGATGATAGTTATGGAAAGACTTCAAGTCTTTTCTTCATAGGGTTGCTATGAGTCGTGCTGGACTGGACAGGAATCATAACAACACCAGCAGCAACAGTGACAATAACAATATAGCTTGGAGGTTTATGTATGAAGCAGTTGGATTCTGGAAGATGGTTTCTCTGGTGAGGATCAGGTGTAGACTGGTTGGTGTTTTCTGTTCACAACTGGATGTGAGCGGATTGGATTTGCCAGCTTTAGCTAACAGTGAGCTGGAAGCCTTTTGGTTTAAAGTCAGCCAGGACCTGGTGGGTGGGCCTTGTATTTAAAAGGTGGTTGGACCCTGGGCCTGCAGCCCTCAGACCTGGAGTTGTGTTTGGTATGAACATTCTTCTAAGTGGTACAGCCCTTGTCTGTCAGTTTGCTGTACTGAAGTAACTTGGGGTTGATGTGATGCTGAATGTCGAGCCACTGATGTGTCAAAAGGCCGTATTGGTTACCCATCGTGGACAGTGTTTGGTGGATCTCTCAGATTGATTCATGTTTGGAAGCAGGAGTGGTATCCAATTCCTAAACCACATGCCTCTGGAAACTCTCTGATCATAGAGAAACAACCATAGTTATATAATAGGGTTCAGGTCACTATGAGTCATACTTGACTCAAAGGCACTTACCACCACCACTACCAACACCACCACCACCAATAATATATGTATTTTTTCAAATTATTTATAAGCAACATCTTTTACACAAAAGGAATTATATTTAGACTGTCATATAATATCTTCTTAGGTATTTGTATATTTTCACTTGTGTACATCAATTCATATCATTACCTTTTTATCACTGTCCATACTACATATTATAAATGTTCCATGATTAATTAATCCCTTATTGATGAATATAAGAACTGTTTATAGTTTTTCACTACTGTTAATAGTTATACGATGATAATTATTACATCATTTTATGTAGTGAGAGATTCTGCATAGCAGATTCACAGAGGTGAGCACGGGAATAAATACTTCATACACTTTGGTAGCTAGTGATAGTTTGTTGTCAAAATAAGTTCAAAGTCAATTTCAGATACAACTATAAGGAATGAAAAGGACCCTTTATTTTTGCCCTCACTAGCCCAAGATATTTTGAATTTTTAACATTTTTGCAAATCTAGTGAGATACACAGTAGCATGAATTTTGTTTTACTTTGTTCTACTTATGAATAACATTTAGCACCTTAACTGTTCAGCTATTTTTTATTTATTCTGACATGAAATTAATTTAAATATGGTTAATTATAAGTATTGGACTGTCTTAGAGTACATTCTTCAACCTGCAAATAAGAAAATAGAGATTGCTACACAGAGCGCACGCTCAGTGAAATAGTTCTTAGGAACTAATGTCATTCTCATTTTATTCTAATCCTACTGTAATCATTTTATGTCACTTAAAATTTTTCAATTAAAATTGAAATTCAGTAATTCAAATTATTTTTCATTAGAATAAATAAACTTTTATTGAAAGAACTTGATTGAGAGACTCTATTTAAAATGTCTACGTAGTTTTGTACTTTGTATTGGCTTTGCCTGGAGAGTTCTACTCCCAGCTTGTATCACATGGCTGTTTCTTGTTATTCAAGGTTTTTTTTTTGTTATTCAAGTTTTAACTCAAGCATCATCTCCTCCAAGGAACCTTCTGTTTACCCCATTCACTTCCTGTCTGATTAGCCAGTTTTATTTTGTTGTTCTTTTATTGAAAGTGCTGTGAGAGAAGAGATCTTTGTCTGTTTTGTTTGCCACACATTAGAGCAGTACTCAACATATTATGCTCAAAAAAACACTTGTGACCCACATAGAAGGCAAGTAGGAAACCTTGCCAGGGTTGGTTAAACTTAAGCTTTGGGCTTGTTTATTCTATTTCTTCTTAAAAGAATACTCACTGCCATTGAACTGGTTCTGACTCATAAAAACATTTTAAGAGTAGAATTTGCAAGGCTGTAAATCTTTATAAAAGCAGACTGATGACATCTGATGCCTTCAAACACGCTGCTTATATTAATTTACAAAATCATATAGTAAATGAAATTAACTCTTTGATGAAACAATGTTATTCTTTTATAATGTAGGTCTTAGTTCCTGCCTTACCCAAACAACTTTTAAATGTTCTTGTTTTCTTTGTCAAACTATGAAATTATAGCCTTGGCTTCTTCCAGTGAGAGAGAGAGTAAACTTCCCTTAAGGTCTGTTGATTCCTGTGTGACCCTTCTCACCCTGGTGAACCGATTTCCTTAGTTTTAGGTATACAAACACAGAGTAATTTTTTCCCCCCCTCCAGTCAAAATCATGCCACCTTTGCTTTTCATCGTATGTGCATTGGGCCATTTTGATCTGCAGAACAATTTTCTCTAGGAGGCTTGGAAGGCAGAACTGTCACTTGGTTTCTTTGGCATAAAAGAAACAAACATTGTTGTAGAACCTAACCACCTAATTGTAGGATTTTATACGCGATCAAATAAAGATCATCAGCTCATTTCATCTCTTTAAACAGATTTAAGACAACTGCTCCTTTTTCTTGTGCTCAAAACCAGTTTTACTGATCTGTTTTGATGTGTTAGTGGAAAAACTGGTTTGCTTAATCTAACTAAACACTATAGAATGAACAGTAATTTTGTAACCTTCCCACTTCTTCTCCTGTACACTCTTGTATGATGAGAAAATGGGGGGCAGAGGATAACATGTGACTTTTTAGTTCACTGTATTCAATCATGATTTGTTTTTCTGTAAGCTTGTAACTGTTGTACCTAAAACTTTTCCCCTTAAGATTTTCTAAAAACACCCCTTCATTCAGAATCTGATCACCTGATTTAAAAATCTGTTTCTCTCCTTTCACTTCCTTTGACTGTTATGTACTGTTGAGTGGGAAGTGATTCACAGCTGACCTTCAGCGAGTTTTCAGAGGCCATAAATCACACAGGCGGAGATTGTCCGTCCTTCACTGGCAGGGCCCTGGTAGATTCCAACTGTGTGCCTTTGCTTTGTCAGCCTGACTCCTACCTCTATGCCACCCGTTTGTAATTGTCCTAAAGTTCACTAATGCTCTGTCTCACGCTTTTCTCCTCTGGTTCATCTTCAGTGGTTTTTATTGTTTCCAATTCCTCACAATAACTAATCCACCATTAATCCTACCTAATAAATTTCGGATATTATAGTTTTTGTTAAAGAAATAAAATTTGGATCTTCAAAAAGACTTTTTCATACCTACTTTCCTCTACAGCTGTGCTGCTTGAATATATAAACACAGTGCTAATAATTGTTTATAGCTTCTTTTGGGAGCTCTAATGGCCTAGTAGTAAGGTGCTCTACTGCCAGCCCAGGGGCACATGGTTCAAATCCGCCAGCTGCTTTGTGGGAGAAAGAGGGGCAGTTTCTCCTGCGTGGTTTACAGCCTCTGTAAACCTGCTGGAGGGTCAGCTGTGGGTCCGTTGTTACATTTCAATTGATTGACCATTTTTTTCTGATACAAATAATATTTTACTGTTCTTCACAT